CTCTTTCCCCAGGAGGACCTTGCACTAAGGCAGCAAGGCTCCCTAAGGCTTCAGTCCTTTCTGCTGCACACTTCTCTCCCCATGTTACCTCCGACTTCTGTGGGCACTTTACTGTCCTTCTTAACCCATTTCACAGTGTGCTGTCATGGAAATGCAGCTCCAGCTCAAATAAAGGGGAGAAGAATCACAGCCCATGATTTGAAGGAATCTTGGAAAGCAGCTGAGGTCTGGCTCATTCCCATGAGGATACAGTTTGACTCAGCTTACCTTGTCCAGACAAGTCAGTTGACAGTTTGTGAGTCTTGTTCCCATCAAATAACTCTAGGGTGTATTTTCCCTTATCTGCATCTGTTGGGTTCAGTATGTGAAGCCAGATCTGATCCATTGTGCTCCCAGCTTTCAGTCTGTCACGGCTTTCCAGTTGTTTCTCTCTAAGTAAACAAATGATATAATTTCAACAGTATTTGGTAGAGCTGTATAAATGAGAGCACTAACTTTTTTTAGACCTCTACTGGTTAGAATAAGAGAGTGGGAGTCAGGACCTCCCTGTTAATTTTATGGAGAGTTATGTACTCAGTCACTTTTGAAAATCTCATGAGGCATCCAGCTGTGCTTTTAGGCAGTTTGCCAAAGCTCTGCAAAAGACCTCTTAGTTCTTAGGATATTAAATAGGATTTAGATGTTGAGTATTTGTAAGTGTTTAGCCCTTAAAAGTTATTAAAACTCACCCTCTTTATATATCTGTGTAGGTGGTATCTAATAGAACACCATTTCTCTCTATACAAATACATTAATTTAGCTAGTGTTTGGAATTTTATAATATTTGGGAATATTTTCCAGAGTTTTCAGAGTAGGTGAACTGAATGGTTTAGAGATGTACAAAGTAGTAGAAATAAGAATTTGAAAAAAACAACTTATTTTCCTGGCTGTAACCAAGGTGGCTGTAACTGAGCAGTACCATAAATGCATCATTCTTGTTCTAGTATAGATGATCAATTGTAAATGTTTCTGCAGTGTTAAGATAAAAATAACATGATTGCTTATTTTTGAATTTTTTGAATATTTGGAATGTTTCAGGATGTGGGATGAATTGTGGT